GTGTGTGTGTGTGTGTGTGTGTGTGTGTGTGTGTGTGTGTGTGTGTGGTGGTAGGTGGGTTGATGGCGGTCAGGGCCCACGGGGGATGGCGGCGCCCCCACCCCCCTCCCCCTAGCCTGGCTGCCTGGGCCGGGCTTGGATTCCACTGGGGCTTGCCTAGCTGCCTTTGTGTTCGCCACCGGCTGACAATCCCCATGTATATTTAATGCTAACCTGCTGTCTGTTCTAACAAATAGGACTTCACAGGCAGAGGGGGGGATGGAGGACAGGGGAGGGAGGGGGGTGGGGGGGAGCAGGAGGGCGAGGAGAAGGCGGGTAGGAAGTAGGGATTAGGAGGGTAAGAAAAGAGTGTGTGTTGAAAGAAGGAGAGGTGGAGGGAACGAAAGAGTGAAATCAATCAAAACCTCTGGCTGCTTTGCTGCCTTACTGTTTTCCTGCAGAGAGAGGGTCACTGGAGGGACACGCACACACACACACATATCCCCGCAGCTATAGCATGCACCCTATGCAAACACATCATGGGTGGTACTGTGTGAGCATCAGACGAGGGTAGCCTAAGTACACACAGCTGATGTGGATGTCTCTATTCGCTTCTTGTGTGCGCGCTTGTGTGTCTGACACCTTTTTGTCATTTCTGCATTTGTGCGCCTGTGTTAGTGACTTCCAAAAGTAAAACAGCATTCATGCAAGTGCTTCACTTAACATGCGAATGTGCGGATTGGATCTATGTGTAGGTCCTTGGTAATAATAGTAAAAAGGCCTTTTTATCTTAAATGTCAGTGTCGGCTGCCTCTTAAGCAGTCACGCTTATAGACGTTTGTGGTTTGTGTGTGTGTGTGTGTGTCGGAGCAGTATGTACACAGACTGTTGTACAGTTATACAGTCATGCATGCATGTAAATGTACTCTGGCATACAGCCATACATACATTAATGTATTTATCTAACCCATACCGGAAATCCAAGTTCTGTAAACTAACTGTAAAAGAAGGAAGAGTCAGTGTGTGTGTGTGTGTGTGTGTGTGTGTGTGTGTGTGTGTGTGTGTCTAAATTGCTCAGGCTCATACATCAGGTCTTTGCATAAAATCGAATTGAAGTAGAAAGACATAAACATTACGCTTTATAATTGTATAATACATGTTAGAATAAGCCAGGCTCGCGGCGTGTCTATACAGATGGCTATTTGTGTCAGTCTAACACTTTGGTCCAGTTCCGTCTTACTTTTTTGCTTCTTCCTCTCTAATCCTCTCCTCCCTTCTCCAACATGCTGACTCTCCTCTTCCATGTTTCCTCACATCCCAGGTTGGTGTAACTATCCCCTGGACCAGCTGGGCTTTTGGAGACGAATGGAGCAATTGATCAAACGTCTCACAGGGCACAAGCCGCGATCAGATGACCTGGCGTGGGCCAAGAAGATCGACAGATAAACGCGCAAACACACGGCCGCCGGATGGACGGGCGGACAGTTGGGCTTGCCGATGAAAACATCTAGAGACGGAGACGGATGGGGAAAACACATACACATGCATGTTACTCATGTCTTTGTGCTTTGTGCTTTTCTGCTGAAGAGCGAACATTCAAAGAAACTGTTTTTGCAAAAAGAAAAATCAAAGATGGTTCGAGGGATTTCTGTCCGTGCTGGAGTCTGCAGTATAACGAGCTTCAAACGTACGAGGTGAAAACATTACTAGATTATAACTATATAATTATATATAATTATAGTAGCCAATCAGCTTGTAGTCCTGTTTAACCAATGAGATGTGTGGGTGTAGGAGGTTTCTGGAGGTTGGGCTCTCCAGAAGTTACACCGCACTGCCTGTTGCAGGCAGCTTCTTACACACACGCACACACACACACACTCACTCACACACGTACACAAACAAGTTTGAAAGTCTCTTCTATTTCTTCTCGTCTTCTTTTTTTCTGGCCCACCCTGGAAACATCACCATTCTCTTTAAATTCTCACGTCTGTTACACACAAGAAGGTGAAAATGGGATGATTGTGAGGATCCATTAAGACACTGATAACTCCCCTCTTTTGTGTCTGTGCTTGGTGATCTCTACAGGCCAGACAAGACTTTGGGAGGACAAACATGTGGAGAAAGGTTTGATAAAATACATACTGTAGCTTCCATAGAAACGTATAGCACTAATATAGATAGGTCAACAGGCATGTTGCAGATGCAGACTTACACATGTGCATTTCTCATTGATCCTTTTGTACAGAAAGATGGTGTTTTTTTTGTAGCATTAGGAGTTCACCTCTAAATGTATAGAAACCTCTAAAGAACATATTTACTGCATAAAAACTGTTCAGCAAAAAGCCGTTTTAAGGAGGTTTAATACGAAAATGTATTTCACTTGAATCCAGACGAGTTCAGAATTTTTCGTATTCCTTGTCTCTTTGTATATAACATTTTCAGTGAGGACATGCACTCTGAATGAAAGCTACAGTGCGGTCGGATTTCCGTCTTTCTCGACAGACAGAAAAGGGGACACAGCTGAACTTGTAACTGGCGGTATAGAAGGTTTAAAGCAGGCGAGCCTGTTTCTCAAAGTTAACAAAATCCCCCTACCAGCGCCTCTAAAGCTCACAAATGTATATGTTATATACCTTGTTGGTTTAATCTGTACAAAGCCAAAGATTCTGTTACCTTCGAGCAGAGCCAGGCCAGCTCTTTTCCCCTGTTTCCAGTCTGTGTGCTAAGCTAGCGTTGTGGCGATAGCGTCCTATTTAGCGTACAGTCGTGAGAATATTATGTTATCAAAATACAACAACTAAGATGAAATGGAGAAAGTCTGGCATGAAGTCTGGATGACAGGTTGATGTTCATATATAAACTTTAAGTCTCTTTGCTCCATTTGAACAGAAATGGACACAGAAAGAAGCAGAAACGTCTTGTCATCGGTGGTATATCCTTACTGTACAGAAATCTATCCAGCAGAAGCTCCGTTTCTTGGAGGATGCTTTCGGCTTCCCCCAAAGGCTATCAAATAAGCCTACATGTGTAGTTAGCGTTAGCTTTCCACCTCCACACTGGACGAGCCGGGGCAGGAAAGCACAGCTTGTTGTTGCCTCCTAGTCCAGCATCATTCTGCATCACTACAATTTGTTTTTATTCAGGATTTTATGCAGTTCAGACACTATTTCCTAAAGCACTTCTTAGTTGTTTAAATTCTTAAGAGAGCTTGAAAAATCCTTTTTTATATTTATTTCTCAACAGATAACCATTTTGCATTGTTCATACCGTTTGAAAAAAAAACACCCAAATCCCCTTGTAGAAAAGACAAAGAAATTTCGTCAGCAGTTGTGCGAGATGCTAATTGGTGCCGCTGTCTGCCACACTGTGCAACTGTAAATACTAAACACACAACAACAAGGAATGTTTCACAAACCTCTGAATCAGAGTGATACGCATGGCAACATTCTTACATCAGTCTGTGTCAGCTGATGTGGAAGAGGAAAAGGGAATTCTTTTTTTATTGCACAACAGAAGAAAAAAAAATTGGTTAGCTAGTTGCTTATTAGGTGCAAATAATGTATCTCTGATTTTTGTTTATGTTGCGTACAATGACACATGCACTTTAGTTTGCTGTTACTAACTCTAAACTCGCTGCTCGACTTGTAGTTTATTTCTAGGCTGGAAATCCCTTCAGTTGCAGAAGGTCAATAATAACAGCACTTCATTGTTTTACTCAGTAAATGTCTGAAAATGTGTCCTGCAATCACTCGTTCACTCGTGTGTTTTCTCTGGCTTTATCATTTTCTATTTTTTTATGAAGCCTTGTACAGTTCCATTTTGACGTTCCATTTCGCTGCTCGTCTTGCCTTAATGTTTTTATCTGCTCTTTGATTTAAATAAAGGTTTATGAACATGTTTGTTGTTGTCTCATTTGTCTCGAGCATGTAGTTGTAATGTGGTTTCAATATGGTGTAATATGGTTTCACTTGCATTAGTGCAGACGAGGCCTGTTGATCTAAGAATATGTGCAGACAAAAGGGGAACACAAAGGATGTGTGTTTTTCATTCATCCTAAATGTTTTGGTGTCGGGGGTTAATGCCGTGTCTCAAAAGTGTAATCATAGAGAAATACAACCGAGGAGTAAAAAGCCAATGCTGAACCAACAGCACCCTCTAGTGTAAGGTTGTATTTTTCCTTTCACTGATCCCAGGTCCTCAGTCAACAGTACGTCGGTGGATGGATGGACGGATGTGGAGTCCTCAGCGGAGGTCAGAAGGTCACCCCGTTCTGCTCTATATCCGGGGCCACGTGACCTCCGAGATCAGTTCAGTGTGAGTCTCACCATCCACAGGAAAGCCGAGCCCCTGTTGGGATGCAGCTGCTGCAGCGGCCCCTCTGGATCCTGCTGAGAGCCGGAGGCAAGGCCGGGGCCGGGGAGGAGGCGAGGGAAGGTAATTAGAAGGCAGAGGAGGAAAAGAGTGGCAGAGACAGGTGAATGACTTCGATAGATATCGCTTTGATATGTGCAAGAAGCTAGTGAATAGTTTGATTTCCTGGTTTCAGCACGTGGACCACTGAAAGCAGACGAATGAAACTGAGTTACCTGAACCTATGTTCTATAAATAGTTCAAATTGTAAAGTCGGTATAAGTACAGCCTTCTGAGTTAATTAACTGAACTTGAGAAAACAAGTTCTGTAATCTACCAAGTTGACCTGGGGAGGACTTTGACGTTTCATTTACAATGCAGACAAAATATGCTGTGATTTTTCACCTGAACCACAACTGTACATCCTCTGGGGACCATGACTGTCTGGTTGTCAGTCTGAATCAAAGGTGGACTGACCGTTAGACAGATATTGACAAGTCCAAGGCTAAATTCAATACAATTATTAGTAAAACAATCACTGTTCAAACATAATTGAATCATTTAGCATGCCAATTTTTGGTTTTCCTCCAACAAGTCAGCCTCTCCGAGTTCTGCAGTTATTCTAACAGCTACATACAGTATGTTCGTCTGGACCGACTGACCTAAAGACTGAGCCTGGATGTTCGCGGTGTCTGATCGTCACAAGCTCTAATATGGAGATTTATAAGCTCTTCATAGCGGAGTTTATCTTTGGGAAAAAGATGGATTTCAGTTAATTACCTTAGCTGCGTCACTTCTACACATTTGATGACAGTTTGGGGTTCGTTAATTTTGTTAGAAGATCGCGCATACAAACACAGAGACAGTGTCCGTTACCTGAGCATGTGCACACACACACAAACACACACACACACACACACACACACACACACACACACCAGGGGTTGTGACATGTTGCAGAACTATCTGATCTCACACGTCTTTATATAGCTCACAGTAAGAGCTCCTTTGTCATTCCCGCATTACTGCCACCACTTCCACTGTTACACCCACTGCTAACAAGACACACATGCAGCTCGCCTTCCTTTCTCACCCACACACACACACAGACACACACACTCACACACACTCCCTGTCTCTCTGCGTGGTGGTGACATATTGGATCTCACTATGCTGATGTGCTTGGCTGATCGGTGTCTCATGCTGGTAGCTATTAAAGTTTCTATCAGACATACTGAGACACGGGGCTTGATGGCAACACAGCAGTGAGATGCAGGGACACGAATGTGCAGCTTTTAAGTTAATACTTCATTATAATATAAAAGTTACAGTTTTTTTTACCAAGCAAGCTTTATAAAGCAGTGTGCACATCGTGATCATGCATGCCATTAAAATGTCCACTCTCAGTTCCTCTGAGGTGCATGAGTCAGAAAACGCCACCTCATTGGTTAATCACCATATATATATAAAACATAATGCTCATTTCCAAATCTAAGAAAACATTATCCAAGACTTGAATTAAAGAGGGATCAACCATCTTAGCTCCGTTTACTGACTTTGCTCTTATATTCTCAAAGAAAGACTTAAATAATATTTGGAATCTTTGGAATTTCTATATTAATTATTGTTTTTTTTGTGTGGACACACAAATTCAAGGCATCCATGTGAATATGTAACGCTCAGAGCCGACATAGTGTGAACGGTGACAAAGTATTACTTATGGTGGGAGAGGAGGTGGATGGTGTCAAACAAAGACAGGACTTTCAATGTTGAATTGTTTGTGACGCGTTTCCTTAGTTTACGTACTTAATCTAACAAAGTGGTTTTGTTGCCTTAGCCCAACGTTAACTTGTTTCCGTGGGGTCGGCAGGTAATATTACACATTACCTGCCACCACCAGGCAATGCACTGTGAGGAGGTTGTGGTGATCTCATGTATTTCTGTGAGGTCACGTTGATAAGGGAGAGGCCAATCCTAGGAACAAAGGATACGATATAGTTTGCCTTGCAGGCCTGATTCAGGGTAAATTTGGCCTTAGATCAAAATGAGAATAAAAAGTGGATGAGGTAAAGCCATGATGTGAAGTTTTGGTCGATCATTTGATAATTAGAGCATTGTCATTGAACATATGATTTAATATCAATGCCTGAGAGATATTACTTCTACTCATGTGTGTCTTTGTGTAAATGCTCTGCTTCTTGAACAGCTTCCAACTTGATTCTAAATTAAAATAGCTGTTAAAATATTGAGCAATAGAGAGAAATAGTTAAGGTGCTGAATTTGATACAATACAAATTAAGTTAAAGAATAAATCAATCCATAGTTATCATCTGCTCCAAATCCAAAAGACAAAAAAAAAAAGTGTCTACGAGTGGAAGCAACAGGGAGCCTCGACTCGTCTTTAATGACATCTGAACATGTGGCTGCAGGTGACTTTTGTCATGCAGGGTGTGAGAATCCCACAAGGATTCTCGTCAGAGATTAAAGTGTGTTCACACCCTTCTCAGTAGCTTGCTGTGTGTGTGTGTGTGTATGTGTGTGTGTGTGTGTGTGTGCACTTGCACGCCTAGATGCAGATGAGAGTGTGTATGTCTGTTGCATTGTTTCACATGGTGTGGATGCTTGAATGTATATGTATCTGTGTGTACGAAGGTCGAGTGTGTGTGTGTGTGTGTGTATGTGTGTGTATGTGTGTGTGTGTGTGTGTGCGAGACTCACTTGCAGGTGCAAGTGAGAAAGACAATTATAAGGGCCTGACAGAAAAGCAGTGAGGCGTCAAAGAGTTTGTCACATTCATCACACTTCTTGAGTCAGAATGGGGAAAAAAGTTTTGTATTTTGAACCAAAGTGCGTTGAGATTGAAGAGATTTGAATGTCTTCTACTTTTCTTAAAGGATTTAAGTCTGGTGATATTCTTCACTTTTCTTACTGTAAACACATCTAGTAACCGTAGACCCTGCGGCATTCAGCTCCAACTTCATTTATTCCTACCGAAAAATATATTTTCATTTTTCAAAAAGGCAAAATGATTTGCTAAAATAGTTGGGCACTGTGTTTGTCTGCAAATGTTACTATAACAGGATTACATAGGGGACTATTTTCAGAGGTGGATTAATGCACATTTGGAGCAAAAAATAGTCATATATAAAAAGAACAACGAAAGTGCAGTTCAGTCTTTGCAGAGCCAGATCAGACTCACCTGTGTTGGGCCAGCACAACAACGTTTTTTGGGGGCATTGGGATCGTTTTTTCGATGAATTCGATTTTTAGAAAGTCAGTTAAACAAGCCTACAGATACTCAAATCCTCCTTTTGTTGTCCAAACTTTAAGGCTGGTGTTGTTTTACCCTAGGCTAACCCTCCAGCATGTAAGGGGACAGAACAACAAACAAATACATCCGGCTTTTTATATTATATATATATAATATGTCTGGTAGACATATCTGTACATGGAAGGAGAAATGGGGAATGTCACACAATGGTTTTTTTTCACTGGCAAAGAAAAGCTAAACAGGGAGGCTGTTGTGATGCCACCTGCTGGTTGTATTCTTAACCTCAATATGTGGTGAGTTAATACAAATAGTTAATTAAGGTTTAACTGGCATCCAAACTACTGATTGTCATACTAAAGCGCATAAATGTCTGTTTTCATGGACTTCTGTGTGCGCTCTCAAACTCTGTCTAATAGATACTTTGAAGCGTTTAGATCAAGTCCACCCGGTATGTTGTTGAAACACGTCATTCTGATGCTGTTGCTGTGTAACCTGTGTATTTCAATACTTGGGTCGTGAATGGACAGCGACTGGAGCTCTGGATAAAGCGGACAGGAAACACCAATTATCAAGCTATTGATACTATTAATAAACAGGTTATTAAATATTTGGAGCAGCTTTCCTCTAGATTAAACAGGTGAGGGTCACCAACCTGAGCTCATGAACTGGCAATGAAAGATGTCTTTTAATGTGTTATAACTTAACTTATTACTCATTTGAAAAGTAATTGATCAAGCGACTATTAACAACAAAATGAGTGATGACATCACCTTATTCGTGTGCCGTTTAACCTCGGTAACCACACAGCTCAGTTAATTCACCACAAGCGACACCAAGAGTGTAAAGCCGTAAGAGAGAGCGTCTTACCCAGAAAGCTTTTTATTTTTACCATCTTCAAGACGAAATGAGTGCTACGTGTAGTTTTTAGTATGAACGTATCATTTTGTCATGTTTTTTTTCCAAAAGCTGAAACCTTTTTTGTAGCACGTAGCAGCACACAGCTTTGGCTTCCTGTATTTAGTACCAAATACTACCCTGACTATTAGCATTACACATGTGTTACTATTTCATTTTCTGACACCAGAAACTGCCAAATATGTAAACTTAGACGAACAACATGACAAGTTCAAAGCAATACTCCATTCATACTTCATAGCTCGTCTTAAGCATGCAAACGGTTAACGTTTGGTACTCAGCAGTGCGGAAGGTGAGCGTGATAGAGTGGGGGTGATGGGTGCTGACGGGTGAGGGGAGTGAGGGGGGTGGAGAGTCAGTG